AGATTTGCTTAAAGGAGATTAGAAAAATGACATTGGCTACGGCGAGTTTGGAACAACCGCAGTCACATTGCGACGGCAATTACATATTAGATCAAAACACTATGGACGTAGAGGTGAGTGAGGAAATAGTAGCTGGGCCTATAGGTTTTCAGAGACATTCGTGATACATCAAAAAAATATGTAAATAGAATAAAGWACGAAACTATTATGATCGGTGAGATCATAGCTTGTCAGTGAACCTAATGGCGTACTTATTTGAACTGTATGGGATTGTATAAGTGAAAATATGACGACTCATTTTGATATCGTTATGCAAATTATCTTGCAATGAGTCTTAATTTGTCAATTAATTTTTTAGCAAAATATTATTTAGTACAAAATATGTAATACGCCGACTATAAATAGTTCGAAAAAAATGCTATATATACAATTATTCAGTTTCATACTTGCATTTCTATAAAAAAAATATTGCAATAAATCTTTTTTTTTTTTTTAGGAACGTAAATCCTCGAACTTCTGGCTTTTTAGAGTACTATTTAACTGGACTTCTAGTTCTTCCATAATGTTACGGGCTGTGGAAAAAAAGATTTTATCCTTTCTTAAGACGCCCTATCGTGGTTTCTTTGTAGATATTGGACCCGCCATTGGTGAAGCTGATAAAATATGGACAATCAGCTTAAACACAGAATCTAAAGAGGTACCTTTGGTTTTGCTGCATGGAYTAGGTGCAGGTGTTGCTATGTGGGTAATGAATTTAGATTCCATTGCCAAAGATCGCCCCGTATACGCTATGGATGTATTGGGCTTTGGTCGTAGTTCTCGACCCGGTTTTTCTAATGATGCACTTATTTGTGAAAAACAATTTGTCAAGTCAGTAGAAGAGTGGAGACGTGAAATGAATATTAATAGAATGGTATTATTAGGCCATTCAATGGGAGGATTCATCGCTTCTAGCTATGCATTGTCATATCCCGAGAGAGTTCATCATCTTATATTAGCTGATCCATGGGGATTTGCAGAAAAGCCTTCAGATGTAAATAACAACCGTCAAATTCCCTTATGGGTGCGTGCTATAGCATATGCTCTAACACCTCTGAATCCTCTATGGGCGTTACGTGCTGCTGGGCCACTTGGCCAATGGGTTGTCGAAAAAACTCGGCCGGATATTACGCGCAAGTTTGCAGCCGCAGTGGATGAAGACAATAACCTTTTACCACAATATATTCATCAATGTAACGCACAAACACCTTCAGGTGAGTCAGCATTCCACAGTATGATGTCTTCATTTGGATGGGCGAAATATCCGATGATACATAGAGTTAAAAATGTCCGAGCGGACATTCCTATAACATTCATTTATGGTTCGCGTTCATGGATTGACTCGTCTTCAGGAGAAAAAATAAAAGCGCAACGGATCGATTCAAAAGTGGATATTAAAATCGTAACCGGTGCGGGACATCACGTATATGCGGACAAACCGGAAGTTTTTAATCGTTACGTTAATGAAACCTGTGAACTATATAAATCGTATCAAAATGGAGCGACTATACGGGATGGAACAGAATCAGATGATGAACTGAGTCATAAAGCATTGCAAGCTGAAGCACAAAAATTACAACAGTCTGAGCTCCAAAAAGAAGAAAATGAAGAAACAGATAAAATCTTGCCTGAAGATGCACAAGCAGATGAAGTTGCTTCAAACCTTAAAGAACAATAAGGTGTATTGATGGAGAATTATCACACACTACCTGCATTCAGTTTTAATTTTTTAGTCGATATGTTTTAGTCAATATATAACACATAGTATTAGCCAAAATATTGCAATTAAAATATTAAATGTGCTCATCCCAAAACTGTTATTTCAGTTCTACGTTTGATTAAACACACCAACAATACTAAAAGTATTGAAATGTACAAGGAAATAATATAAAACTCTGAGTTCTTTTAATACGTTTCTTATAAACGTTTAGAAAGATTCTTGTAGATAAATGCATTTCTAGAGAAATGAATTTAACATAAGAGATTGTATGGCTCTTATGAGTAAAATTATTTTTAAAACAAGAAAAATCATTTAATTCGATTTCACCAAAGCTTCACAAATACAAAAGATTCGTGGCAAAGATAAAATTCTCCGTTCAGTGTAAAAAAAGTAATAGGAAAGCAAAATAATTCTTTCACACATTAACATTTAGGAGTTGAGCAAAAAATGTTATTTGTGTAAGTTGTAGTCCGATTATTTTCTTATCAATGCATTGGCAAATTATGTGAACATGGTGCATACATGTCAAGAAGCGATAATACCAAAGACACGAGTGCGATCTTAGAAATTTGTTGAAACAATATATGCAATTTTATTGCTCTCGTTGCGATTCGTGGCTAATAATGGGCAATTTGAGTACTACAACATAATAATACTAATGAAAAACAAATATAGTTGTAAAATATGATAAATATTTTGTATTCTTTTATCTTCTATCAAATATTTGTTAAACTAATTCGAATGCATAATGTTTCACCAGTGTTAAATGTTATAAGTAAAGCAATTTGAATTCGCTAAGAAGCCATATTAATGCCTTGTAAAAATATACATATGTATATGTATATGTACGCGTTTGATTACGAGTACAAATCAAGCAATCCTCTCCTTAAGCTACGTTTTGTCTTTATCAGTATTAATAAGTGTATAATATATAAAAAGAGTTATTTTAAATACTGTTATAATGCCTTTATTTATAGTCTGAAATACATTTAAAGCTCACAAAACATTAACTTTTAATAACAATTGTAATGCAAATATTTTTGATTAAATTTTCTGTCTTAACATAATTCTCCCTCCTTTCAGACATTCATGTTTTTTTCCTTAATAATTTTATTTTGCTGTGGCAAAGCCAACTCGATCGTTACCCATATCGAATTCAGTATAGTATTTACCGATAAAAACATCACCAAGAATCCACAAAGGACCATTTGGTGGTGGAATATCCATACCCATGAAACCAGACAAGCAAATCGTTTTGCCCATTTGAGCAATACGTAAAATATAGTCYTTGCCTTCCAATTCGAATGTTTTGCCACCCAATATAAATTTAATTATCGGAAGTTTTGGAATCAAATCGCAAGAGACCATGTACTGACCACCCATAATTGGAGTTCCACCGATAGCTTGATTTATAGCCGTTGTTTCTTCGGTAGGTCCTGCAATTAATGAAGTACCTGTGTCGGCAATTACTTGGCAGCCCCCTTTGCAAAGTTGCAAATCACCGACTGAAGCACCGTCCATTTTAATTTGCCAGTAAGCTTTGCGTGATACCGGTAGATAAGTAAAGTCTCCGACATAATGATCTTTATCTGAACCACCGAAAATAATTTCTCCACCTTCAGGTGCAGCAGGATCGCGGTTTAAGTAAAATGAAAATACGGGTGCTGGAATAAGTCCCTGTTCATACATATTATAAAATGGTGGTTTTACGCCGTCTACAGATATTGAACTGTATGCCAAACCGAGGATACCRTCAAATTTTGCCGCAACAAATACGAGACCCGGCTCACTCATTGCTTCGGCAAAAATTTGTTTTTTAATATCTAATCCACCGATATTCACTGTGTCAGCAGACAAATATCCAGACAAACTTCCAGAACCATAGTGAATGGCGAATTCGGTGCCATTCTTTTCATAAGTTTTAGACTTCGCAGCATCGTATTTGTTGTGCATCAGACAGGCGATGTTGGTCAAATGACATTTTTTCGATGGCACCCAAAGGTTTGAGGAGCCGGTATCAAAAACCACTTTAAAGCTTTGTGGGGGAGATCCAATTGTTATTGGGCCATAGTACTGCGCATCTAGGTAATTTGAAAGTGGTTCAGGAGCGATGCCACCATTGGCATATTTAATGCGTAATTGTTGCAATTCAGTACCCACATCGGAAAAATGTTGTCTAGCAGTTTTAATTTTTTTTAGTGGTACTCGCAATAGCTCAGTATTAGCTAAGCTAAATACCGTTAATACAATTAAGAGTGTTTTAAACATCATATGTAACTGTGATCTAAAAGATAATGCAGAAATATTAAATTAATTTAAAACGTTAATTAAATTAATATAAGAAATATTGTAAAATCCTTTGTTCTCTCACCACAGTCAGCTCAAACCCGGTTTTATATTTTTATACTATTGCAATTCAATGGTTAAGAAATAACTAAATGGAAAAACCTTTGCAAATTACAAATATCTTGAAAAATTGATAATGACAAAGCAATATAGAAATGAACAAAAGGGGAAAAGCAAATTACTGCTGCTTTGCGAGTTCGGTACCGTATAAGTGCCAGTTTGCACACAACTTTTTTTGTCGCCCAAAATGGGTTTTATATGAGCGAAAAACGAGGAAAGGCAAACATTTTGAAATTCTTTTTATGGTTGCAATATTTATTAATTAATGTTTTATAATAAATTGAAAATTATTGAGTAACAAAATTACGGTGTTTTAATAATTCCCAAAATAGAAGGAAATTTCCTTCATAAATTTGGTTGTAAAAATATTAATATAATTCAAATAAATCTTTTGCTACGATTCACGTCAAATATTTGTATTGATAGAAAACTTCGATGTACGCTATTTTATGAAGTTTATATTGCAGTCGCAATTTTTATAAGAGAGAAAAACTGAACACAAACATTCATTGTGGCATACCCTTTTTTTTCTGCGCCTTGTTGGTTTTGTACAAACTATGGACTGGACCTCAACCAGAGAACTTAAAGATATATACATAAAGATATACATTCTCTGCCTCAGCAGCTTAGTTCCAGACGTAGTTATCAAAAAAATTGTTCAGACAAAACTATTGACAAACATAAGCACTGTGCAACATCCATTGGCAATTTATCAGCAATAAAATTATCTAGACAATTGTACGTTATTGTGATTTTACCATAGATGTCTCCGTCAACAACTACTAAGTTTGTAATACTGTGAGCCTTGACGTCCATCTTTGAAAAATTCACTGCGGAAACGTTCATTTCATTTCGGATTGTCTTTGAGTAAAGATGTATAATTTATTTGCGCTTAATAAGTTATATAAATTTGAAGAGAGTAAAAGGTAAGTACAAAGAAAGCATTGTATATGCGAACTTCATATTATTCATAAATTCTCAATGATGCTTATTTATACCGCCCCAGTCGGAAAGATAATGTCGATTGGTTCTTTTGTTACTGATTCGTCAAGCTCTAAATGTAGTATATAAATAAAGAAAATTACTAATGCATATTTTTATATTTCAGTGGTTATGGTTGAGTTACAATGGAATTTTTGACAAGTTCATTGTTCCGAACATGAATTATATGAAGACGTGAAGTTTTTGAACTATCTGTATTTTCCTGTCCACAAAAGGTAATTAAAGTAWAAAAAAATTCATGCCTTAATCCTTGAACATGAACATGATGTTTTCGAATACCGCCCCAGTCGGATGAATTATGTCGATTGGTTAAAATTGCTGAAATTACTTCTTATAAAAAGTCTATATAACATAAAGAAACTGCTATAATATTCTGAATATTCCAATTTTCAGGTCTTGCTAACCACGTGGAATTCAGTGTGATATAAGCAGTGATTAAATGCCAAGGTATTTACAACAACTAATTTTAAAATAATTGGTATGAATGATGATAATTAAATGTAGACAAGCATATAACAGAATTTCTTATGTTGAATACTATCGTCTGAATGTTATAACAATCATGATATGTTAAAACTTTAAGCATGGTTTTCTAAAATATATTTTTTTTTATTAATTAGGAATTTACGAATGGCTGTTTTGGTGTTTGGAGAGTAGCACTATATCCGGCATTCCACGAGGTAATTTTCTTTTATTTTTGTGGTAATTCACGTTCCAGTGATGATTTTTAGTTATCCCTGTCATAAAGACAAGCTTGATGATAAATAAACACTGATATTTATTATAAATTATGTAATTAATGAAACTATATTTATTCGTGTAAGTACTTAATGAATTTTTTTCTTTTTTTCAGGTGTTTGTGGAAATTAAAAACAATGTAATGTGGCAAATATTAATAAAGAATGAATTGATTTTAAACAAGTGTTTTTATTATGGACCCTTTTAGGAAAATATAAGTTATATATGCTAAGAACTGATGCGCATTTATTTCTAGTTATAAAGACTAGTTTAAACATTCTCTATGATCGAAGTCATTGAAATAAATATGTCTTCAAAAACTAAAATTAATTAATACCTAATTAAAAATGATGTTTTTTAAGGTCATTTTGTCGGCATATGCTTGAAATCTATGCCGCTGTATTTTGATTAGGGGCAAAAATGTTATTGTGAATGCTACTTTATAACAATGGAACAGTGAGATTGGAACGTAAGAGAATAAAATACGAGAGAAATTGTTTTATTCCACTTCACTGTCCTCAACAGCTTATAAACAAAAAGCGGCTAATTTTCCATAATATATAGTACAAAGCCAGGACATAAAATTATGTTTAATTATAATTTACCGAATGGCGGTYTGCACGCTCGTTGTTACATTAATTCCAATAGTGAAATTAAATTTGATCCGCCAGTATATGAGCAGCGCTATACCACAACCATACGCATATTGGAAGATCCACATTGGGGGCACAAATTTAGAAAAGTGAGACCGGTTATCCACTCAATTTCATTTTGAATACAAGAGATACATAATATTATTTTTTTTAATGCGTTTCTTTCTACACAGGTGGTAGATTTCGGATGTGCTGAAATGCGATTGTTGTCATTGCTACGTCGTACGAAAGGCATAGAACATATTCTAGAGGTAAGACAGAACTTGTGCCGCAAATAAAATATTGGTATACCAATCAATGAAAGCAAAATGTGTCAGACTCAAACCATATCTCTGTTAGTTTAATAATTTGGGCTATATAGGCCTAGATTAGGTTGTCCTTAAGAGATAGGAATATATATTTTTTCTACAGACTTTATTATTCTTAGACGTCTAATATTGATCACTAGGTGGAGTCCGCAATCTTTGATTGGTTATAAAATCAGTTTTTATACCCGTTTCTAATGTAATCGTGAAGTAGTTGTGTTCATCGTAAACTCATGATTGGTGCAGCATTCGTGACTGTATTATTCAAAAAATTTTATTCTTTGCGCGTATTAAAACTTCAAGTTTAAATTTTAAGAACTCGTAATAGGCGAACTGCAAATAAAAAGATATTTTTATTTCAATACGTTTATTATTTTTTTTAATATTTTATTTTATGAAGTTTAATGGTATGTAATTAATTCCTTTAATTAATGGATATATTTAGGTATTTTACTTAAAACTAAAGTAATAAAATTTAGGTAAAAAAACAATAAAATGAAATAAACAAATACTAATTCACTTTTTGTATGGTGTGCTTAAAACAACGTCTTGGTGAATTGTATGTGACCAAATTTTAAATTACTATATTAACTTTAAAACAAAACGCTAATGCTCATTAACACAAATTTGTAAAGTTGAATTAAATCTGTGCCTTTTTGGTGCAAACAGTGCCAGAAAATACAACGTTAAATAACATGGAATTACTTTTTAAATAACCAGAATGCTTGTATTCATTGCAAACAAACTCCGAATTGAAGGTAAAACAAACGTAAATTAAATTTCTAGATTAATAGTAAATCTTACAAACTATTTAAAATATGTTAAGAGAATGGGTTGATAGCCAGCACCGTGGTGTCACGTATGATACAAGTAGAATGCACATGTGTACTCAATAAAATTCAAGGTCCAAATGAGATTAGTTGGTACGTTTGTAGGCCGCGATTTGCAATATTAATCATTTAAAGCAAACATTATTTGTAAGTTCAGTGTGTGCGCTTCTGTACTCATTTTCCATAAACCACGGCGAAACGTTCCCATTTCATTTAACTAAATCTAAAAGCTAAGTCTGCTTACTACTAGTTTAAGTATGTTGTATTAGGGAAGTTTATACAAAATTTACAGTAGAGGATCGCGTTATTGTGATTTTAATTTTACACGTGATTAAAATGAACGATTTTTTATTTTATGTAACATTTATAAAAGTTGTAAGATTTGTTTCTCCTTCTTAGTGATTCAAAGCGATAGATGTAA